TAGTTAAATTAATAACCTTATGGGGTCTAAAAGTAATTAAAAAAATAGGATAATATTTCTGGAATAGTGTGCCAAACATTATTTGGAGAATAGGATTGAGAATATGGATAAAAATAGGGAGTCAAACGCACCCCTGGAAATTTAATTTTACATACGTTTTTTATTTTATTTTAAGCAAATTTTGTTCTGCAAAATGAATGGAGAAATTCTTAAGAAAAAGATGAGTTTGAGATGAAATTTTAAGAAGATGAAAATGGGAAATCTTTCAAGAGGAGTAAAAATATGATTCGAAAAAGGTAAAAGATTAAAAGTGAACATTTTATGTTACAAATCCAAGCTGGAAGGAAGATTTCCAAATACTGTTTTAGACTTTTCAACGGGGCAGTTTATTAAAACAACCTTTCAAGTTTGAATTTAAATTAAAAAGCTATCAAGTTTAAAGTTTTACTAGATAGCATATTATTGATTAAGGGTAATTAGAATTAATGAAGTATTATTAATCTTTTAAAAATTATACTATATTCCCAAAAACCCAAAATCTTGCAAACAAACCCAAACACCTTCTTCTTCCTCCCGCATAACGCATCTCCACCTTGGTTGCTGTTCTTCTTAGGTTCGTCTACATCTTTTCTTGTCTGCATCTTCTTCTCATCTACATCTTCTTCTTACTCCTTCCTCTACATCTTCTTTTTCCTCGCCATTAACACTTTCTTTTCTCCATCATATATACTTCACCGCCAAGGATCCCCCTCCTCCCTGACATTTCGTGTAAATATGTGTATCTCTCTTTACATTTTATATTTAGATTTACAAAGATTTAATAATGGATGGGGTTTAGGTTATGATTTTGATTTAGTTGTTTAGGTTGTTGGGTTGTATTTGTGTAATGCAAGTTGAAAGGAGTGAAATTTGTTGAAAATTTGTTTTGGGTATGATGGACCGATTGTAGGTGGAGATGGCTGAAAATGTGTTTTTGGATCTGATGGATCGCTTAAGCGATCTGGTATAAGTTAGTATATGGCAACAGACGCGTAAGCGATCAGATATATGGCAGCAGTCACTTAAGCGATCAAACTTATTGTACTGTCGCTTAAGCGATATACTAGATCGCTTAAGCGAGCAGTAAGCATATACTTCGATAAGAAATTATATTCCATAATGTTATTTAATATTTAGTCCTTTTTATTAATTATTATTATTTTTTTCATTTCAATAGAATGTGAAAAGAACACTTCGTTCTTTGTTAATAGCACCATACATAAAACTGAAAAATCTATTGTTATCTATTATTTTATTAGTTCTTGGCAAGAAAGTAATATAAAAAAATATAATATTGATATAATGAACTCTGCAACCATCTACTCTGCACTCTGTAGACCAAGGCTAAAAGACTAGATCGCTTAAACGATTAAGGGTAATTTACTTCAATATTTATTTCCATATTATGGACAATGTTTAATATAGACGTAAAAGAACTAATTTAATTAAAATATAATAACGGTCATGGTCCACTGAATGAATCGTACACCTGATATGTGTAATATAGACGTAAACATTCTATATCATATATGTTTAATATAGCCGTAAAAGAACTAATTTAATTAAATATAATAACGGTATGATCCACTGAACAAACCGTACACCTGATATGTTTAATATACACGTAAAATTCTCCATCATATATGTTTAATATAGCTGTAAAAGAATTAATTAATCAAAAATAATAACGGTCATGGTCCACTGGACGAATCGTACACTGATATGTTTAATATAGACATAAACTTTATACCATATGTTTATATAGCCGTAAAGAACTAATTTAATTAAAATATAATAACGGTCATGGTCACTGAACGAATCGTACATCTGATATGTAATATAGAGTAAACATTCTAACCTATATGTTTTATATAGCCGTAAAGAACTAATTTCATTAAAATATAATATCGGTTATGGTCCACTGAATGAATCGTACACCTGATATATTTATATAGACATAAACATTTTACACCATATATGTTTAATATAGCCGTAAAAGAACAATTTAATTAAATATAATATCGGTCATGATCCACTGAATGAATCGTATACTTGATATGGTTAATATAGACGTAAACATTATACACCAATATGTTTAATATAGCCGTAAAGAACTAATTTAATTAAAATATAATAACGGTCATGGTCTACTGAACGAATCATACACCTGATAGTTTAATATAGAGTAAACATTCTACACCATAGTGTTTAATATAGCCGTAAAAGAACTAATTAATTAAAATATAACGGTCATAGTCATTGAACAAATCGTACACCTGATATGTTTAATATAGATGTAAACATTCTACACCATATATGTTTAACATAGCGTAAAAGAACTAATTAATTAAAATATAATAACGGTCATGGTCTACTGAACGAATCGTACACCTGATATGTTTAATATAGACGTAAACATTATACACCATATATGTTTAATATAGCCGTAAAAGAACTATTTAATTAAATATAATAAGGTCATGGTCTACTGAACGAATCGTACACCTGATATGTTTAATATAGACGTAAACATTACACCATATATGTTTAATATAGCCGTAAAAGAACTAATTTAATAAAATTAATAACGGTCATGATCCACTAAACAAACAGTACACCTGATATGTTAATATAGACTAAACATTCTCCATCATATATGTTTAATATAGCCATAAAAGAACTAATTTAATCAAAATATATAAACGGTTATGGTCCACTGAATGAATCGTACACCTTATATGTCTAAGATAGCGTTAATCGCTTAACCAATCTAGTGAAGTACATAAAATAATCCAAATAACACTGGACGCTTAAGAGATTTCATTTCTCGCTTAACGATCCTGTGTATTTAGACTTAGTTGCTTAAGAGATCCAGTTGTATTATGTTATCGTTTAAGCGATTCTATGCTTTTACATTTGGTTGCTTAAGCGATCATAGATCGCTTAAGCGATCACGAACAGAACAGAATCAATAAGTGCCCAGACGCACGATCGTTAAGTGATTTATTCTATCGCTTAAGTGACTTTTGCTTTTAACCTTGGTCGCTTAAGCAATTACAAATCGCTTAAGCGATCATGTCCGAGGCAGAATAAACTCTGCTAGATGCACAATCGCTTAAGCGATTCTTCGCTTTTACTATTGGTCGCTTAAGCGATCCACTTAAGCGATCATGAATAAGACAATAAAGAAATGCCGAGACATAGGATCGCTTAAGTATCGCTTAAGCGATTCTTCGTTTTTATTGTTGGTCGCTTAAGCGATCATGAACAAGACAATAAATAAGTGCCCAGACGCATGATCGCTTAAGCGATCCTTTGCTTTTAACGTTGGTCACTTTAAGCGATTTATAATCGCTTAAGCGATCATGTCTGAGGCAGAATCAACTTCTGTCCAGATGCATGATCGCTTAAGCGATCTTCTGTCATATACCAGATCGCTTAAGCGATCCTTTGCTTTTACTCTTGGTCACTTAAGCGATTTTATATCGCTTAAGCGATCATGTCTGACGCTTAGAATTTGCGTCGGCATACTCCTCTTCAGTTTCAATTTCAACTCTTGCCCTCCCTTGTTTCACCAATAGAATATCTTCCGTCGACGCCTTCTCCTCTCCTATTGGAGCAATTTTAGTCATCGGAAGTTACTCCACCACAACTTCTTCTTCTCCATTTTTGGTAGACCCAATCATGCCTACAATTTGGGGAGTATATGGGTTTTTTCTGTTTCTTTAAGGACTCAGCCATTATAACTTAATCGGGAATGGCAAGGAATGAATAAAATGCAAAGAGCAAAGAAGTGAGGAAATTGAAGAAATTGGAGAAAAAAAGAGCGAGAGAGAGAAAGAACATGAGAGAAATGTGTTCTGCCTTTTAAATTTTAAATCAACTTCTCTTATTATCCTCTAACCCACAAATATTTAAATCTTTTCACCCTAACCCTTTTACTACTTTAATTACACTTAAGGATGCCACGTCATATTTTAACCTAAAAAAAAATCAAAAGATTTTATGGCCATTTTGTTAAATGAAACTTGGGATGGCGGACAGTTAAATTTCCTCCTTTTCAACCCAAATTTCCACCTTTCCCATACTTTCTCAGCAACCAACAAAATTCAATCAAAAACCTAAAATTAACATCTCAACCATTCTTCTATCCAAACTGAACCAAATTCCCAGGTTCACAGGTTTTTCCAAATCAAACACAATTCACCACCAAACCCACAATCAAACGCAAAAAATAGAAGAAAAAAAATCCCAATTCTGCGAACCCAAAAAACCATCAATGTGACATAACCCAACATGCAAACAATAAATTACAATCAACCAATCACAAAATCACAACAAGATCTAAAAGAGACAACAAAAACAAAAAGGAAGGAGAAAGATAAGAGAGATCTTGCAGAAGCTCTTCAAGCTCGTTACTTGGCTGAATAATAAAGCTCGAAGTCAAAGATCAGAACTTGAAGGAAGACGCAGACGGCAGCTCGCAGACGGCGGATGTGAAGGGGTTGAAGTCGAATGAAGGAGAAAGAGTTAAAATTGTTTTTAAGGATCTTGAGTCTTGATACTTATTGGACTGGATTTGCTGCCTGTCCGGTTGGACTGGCGGCTAATACGTAACGTCGGTCTTTAAAACGGTCTAACGTTAAATATCAGGTTTTAACCTTTATGAACCGGAAATGTGAACGAAACCCGATTGGATCGGTGGATCGATCGGTCTGGTCTGGGTTTCATAACATTGGTTATAACAATCCCAAATAGCCTAATCTGTAAAATAAATAAAATGAAGGAAATATCTCTCGAGTGAAATTGTCCTATGAGTCGCACAATTATAACGCTGACAGGCAGTTGAAAAGGGTTCCGTCAATTGACTGTTAACACAAAGCCACGTCCTCACGTCTTCTCGTCAAATCTCCGATTAAAACTTAAAAGAAAAAACATCAAAATTAAAATCACAGCCAATACGAACAATAATAAAAGAGAGAGAAAAACTTTTGATTTATAATTTTATTGACAGATATATGAATTATTAATTGATTGATAGATTGACCTTCATAAATCCAAATGTGAATGAATGTATAGGCACCAAATTTAGCAATGAAAGGCGTCTTCTCGGCGCCCGGAGATTATGTCCACTTCAAGTCTCAGGTTCCTCTTCACAAGATTCCTGTAATTTTCTCTTTCTTATTTTTTTCCTTTCTTGACTGGATATGTTTTTGTTTAATGTAGGTGATTGACCGATTGTTTTTGTTTCTTCATTAATCATTTTAAGTGTTGGGGTTTCTATTTTTCATCTCTATTTTGCAAATTAAATTATTCGGATGTGTGCTTCTTTCTTTGATCCTGAGTTTTACTTGTTAATTGACTACTGCTGTTAGTGGCTCCATGTAAGATAGTTTTTTGAGGATTTGTTCTGTTTATTTTTTATTTTTTTCATCTCAATTGTGGGACAAGTTGATGTGGTTATCACTTATCTCAATTTCAGTTTGGCTATTTTTGCATTTTGATTGGCGATAAGTTGCTTACCTTTAGCTCCATTTTAATTTGTTTGCTTAATTAGTTAATTGCAATGACTTAATATGGGAATTTATTTCATTTGCTTTAGGATTTAGTTCGTTGGCTCCATTTTAAAGTACTCTTACTATGCACTCTGATAAATGTATGCCACAGTCATGGTAGTTCTATCTTGCAGAGAAGCTTTTGGTAGTGGCAAATGCAGTGATGAATTTTGAATTCAATCAGAAATTGATTTTTTTGAATAAAATTTTATAAATTTTTGACATCTGTATAATTGGATTGACTGTGGAACGATGGTAACTCTGTGCATGTTCAAATGAGCAAACACTCATCATCGAAATTGTAGGGTGTTGGTTAAGACACATTGGTTTGTTTTATTTTTGCCTGATAGATGTTAGCTTTTTGAAGCACAAAGAAGAGGCTAGATATTTGAGTTATTTTAGTGCAAGATTATGTCATATCTGAGCACCACGCCTCAAATCAGTTGTTCCTGATGGTACTTTTTATCAAATGATAGGGTGTCTCATATAGGAACTTCCTTTCTTTTCTTTTTCCTTCCAGATTGGCACAAAGCAGTGGCGATATTATGATTTTGGTCCAAAAGTGGTTCCTCCACTTATTTGTCTTCCCGGTACAGCAGGGACTGCAGAAGTCTACTACAAACAAATCATGTCATTGTCCATGAAGGTAGTAAGTTTGATTTTGTAGTGTGTTAGAGTACAGTTAAATAACTAGTTTTAATACATTTCAATTTTTCAATTTCTGCCTCCTTTTTATGGTGTTTTTTAATTTTCCTATGGAAAGATAGTCTATTTCTTCTAGTTCTGGTTGCCTTTTAGAGAGAAACTGAGCTATAACTTAGTTATGATGTTCTTCTGATACAAATTTTGCACTCATTGTTGGAGAGCAGTTTTATAACATGGAAATGGGATATTATCAATCAGGTGACAACTTGTTTCTAAAATGAACAGCAAAAAGGGACAAGTTTCAAATTACATAGAAAAGGAATAGAAATCGTTAGTTATCGCTAACTTCAATGGAAAAAGCTAAAAGACTTAAATGCCCATAATCTAATATAAGAAGAAAAAATATATTTTTTTAAAAGGGAAATTACTATACCAAAAAAAAAAAAAAAAAAAAAAAAACCAATCAAATTATGGAACAGAAAAAAGTCAAATTTTATATAAATTTAAATAATGAACTGAAAAACAAAATTCAAGTAACAAGCCAAACTAAAACTAAGAAAGTGAAATCTAAATGAAAATTGAATAAAGGTAAAAAAAAAAAAAAGGTTGAAGAGGAGAAAGCTTGTTGACTCAAGATTCGTCCTTGAGCTTCAACTTGCTAACTTCATTCCTTATAACCTATTTCTTCAACCTGGTTTACTCATCTTGCCTTGAAGTAGGTGTTTTGCTTTGGTGCTCTTCTTCCTTTTGAGTCCGATCTGCTCTTTCCTACTCCTACTCCTACTCACTCTGGCATGCTCCTCCAAGTAGTCCCTTTGACTGCATGTCCTTAATGAAAATGAAACGGAAGTCCTCAATTGTTTGATTTAAAGAAAGATCAAGTTCTTGCATAGATGATCATAGAAAGTCCAGTAGGAGTGTGATCAGTTCTTTGTTGTCACCTCTAAGCCAAATAAGCCTGTCCAGATCGGGGTGCCCTTTTTTTTTTTTCTTGATTCTTTAAAATCATTAATTATTCTGTTTATTTACTTTAATCTAAATTCATTTTTTTTTTTTACTTACAAGTATTTAATATTTTAATTATTTAATTATCATTGCTTTAATCTAAATTCATTTCTCGTAAATATTTTTAAAATTTTAAATAATGGGCAAATATTATGAACATGTCAAATGCCATTTTTACCCTTATCAAATGTTAAATATAATTTCCTCCAACTGTATTTTTTCCCTTTTGTGTATTTTGAAACTTGTGCCTTTTTTCAGTTTGTTTCATAAAAAGTAGTCTCCTGATTGATAATATCCCCATGGAAATTTGGTGTTGGACGGAAGACTGCAAATTTTTGATAATTATAGAATTTGTTTCTTTAAGAGAACAAAAGAAGAAAAGCTAGTCTCATGAACTTCTTTGTCCAATTCTCTCTCTTTTGCATTGTTCTATCTCCCTGTTGAGTAGAGTTATGAAGGATTTTTAGTTATTTGGTTGTTTTAGTCGGTAGAGACGTGCTGTCAGTATAAATTTTAGATCTGTGGAAAACACTGTATATACAATACCACATTTGATGTGACTCTCCTTGCTGGTAAACATAGAAAAGAAAAATAGAGCTATTTTCCTAATTTTGATATGAATTCAAGCTTATTAAGGTCACACTTATATTTCATTAATCATTTGGTACAGTATTTTTGACGAGTTTTCTTATTTCACTGTATTGCTTATTTCACTGTATTGTATTTATCTGAAGTAATGATTGTAGTCATGGCTTTAGACTGGTGAATTAATTTCACTTCAAATATTGTCAATTCAGTTGCATTTCGGAAGTTTCTTTTTTCACTCGGGCTTGTTGGTATACTCTAAGTTTTCTGAATTTCACATCATAGTATCATTAAAAATCCTACACAAGACAATAGAGGTCATACATTTTGCCCTTTGCTTTGCTTTTGAATTTTGTTACTAAAACATGTAGATGGCTTCAAATTGTATCCTTTCAGCATGAATTTATTACTAGATGCACATGCTATAAAGCGATAGATACGTTTGGGTGGCAATTTCTTCTGTTGGTTTCTCCTTTTATTCCAAGCAAACAGTTTGGACTGTTACCATTTTCATGATATTCTCTTTTACAGGGCTACCGGGTGATATCTGTCGATATTCCACGCGTATGGAATCATCATGAGTGGATTCAAGCATTTGAAAAGTTCCTTGATGCTATTGATGTTCATCATGTGAGAGTTCCATTTATTTTGCAGTATATGCTTCTTCTTACTGCATTCTCTTCTCCTACTTATCTTCCTCTAAATCATATCACTTATATTTTGATACATGAGGTTTGTTTATGTACCAAAATGCCTGCTAACCTTGATCACAAGTTTTTGCATTTCAAAGTGGTACTTTCTTTTCTTCTCCTTCATATACTTAACTTCCTTTCCTTGAGAAAAAGAATGATCTGGATACTTTAAATATTACAATTAGTCAAAGCTTGCCCGTAAGCTTTCCAAAGACACAACTGGCACACAGGAGGCCCAAAGTTACAGAGAGCCCCGAACGCAAAAAATTGAAACTTAGATGCTGCTACATTGTGTTTTCTACAATGAAAGAAGGCACTGATTATTGGCTTAGGAGTGATTGTGCCAAAAAAATTAGTAGATGGCCTATTTTCTGCAAGACATGATCAGCTCATTTTTATTTTCTCATGGTACAACTTTTGCATTGTACAATTCAATCAACTCAAGCCTTGTTTGCCCTGTCTATATATAACCCAATAGGAAAAGGAGCCAGTTATAATAGCTCCTTCAATATTTTGATACATGAGGAAATAACTTTATTTGATCCATGAAAGAAATTTATGTAAATTGAGGAAACTTACTGCCAGCACATGCTTTTTCATTTTTAAAGGGAATGAAATTGTCAGTGAAATTCAACACTGGAAGAGAATGTGCAAATATTAGATATAGACACTTGGATGTACCTATGTATCTTGAACCAGAATTGATCAGAATATAATTAATATTGATCCCCTTAATGTGTGTCTTAAAGGCACATCTTAAGAATATTAAAATGGCAAGTGATGAATGTTTTTTTACTATGGATGGAAGTCAAAGTCATTTAGTAACAAAGTGTTTTTGTTTTTGTTTTAATAAAATAATTACGTTAATTACTGACTATTTTAATATTTTTAATGTGTCCTTAGGGCGTGCTTTTAGATAACCCAATTAATATTTTGCATCTTAGGCACATTATATTTTTTTAGCTTTCTGATGCCATTAGTTACTTGCTTAAAGCTAGGGTATTTATTTGGTAGACTGATAAATCTGTTGCCTACAGATACATCTTTATGGTACATCCCTCGGAGGCTTCCTGGCACAACTTTTTGCTCAGCATCGCCCAAGACGAGTTAGATCATTAGTACTATCAAATACATTTTTGGATACACGTAGTTTTGCAGCTGCAATGCCATGGGCTCCAATGTATGTTTTCATGCTTGTTTATAATGACTATAGGCTGGAAGATCAAACTGCTACATTTTCTCTTTGTATAGATCAAAATCTTTCTTGATAACTCTTGCTTCTCATTAACTGGGTTAGAAAATTATTATTGGGATCCACTTATGACCGTAAACACTATTTATTTTCAGGTATTGAGACATCGCGCTTGCAGAAGCTTTGATATAGTTTTTTATGTTGTAATTTATTGCTCAAAATGCATGTTACATTCAGCAAATGGTGGGAAAAAATATTTATTTGCTTCTGCTAATAATAAAAATATTTTATATGAACCTTTAGGATTCTGCCTGTTTATATAAATGCGTATTCTAGAAATTATTATAGATATATATTTTTTCTACATTGCTTTAATATTCATAACAAAGTCGTTCTTTTATTTTTTTGGATTTTGCTGGCCTGACTTGCTTCTTGTGATGATTTGCTTGTAAAATTATTGTGCTGTTAACATATTAACTTGCCTAATTGTGATAATTCCTTGTGCAGTGTTAGTTGGACACCTTCTTTTTTGCTTAAACGATACATCTTAACTGGAATTCGTGATGGTCCACACGAACCATTTATTGCAGATTCTGTGGATTTTGTTGTTTCTCAGGTAATGTCTGTAATGGCCCATAGTTACTATTATTGTTGTTATCTGTATGAAAACCTGAACCTTATCATACATTGGAATTTTATTGTTTACAACAGAGTTTAAGTTATAATATGGCTTTATCTTTGAAGTCTTTGGTATTTCCATGGCTCTTTGTAAAATCCTTTTTTTTCATATTTCAAAGACGGGAAATATGGGTGGATGCTATTGTTGTCCAATCAGCTAGTTCTGTTTCCAGCTTTTTGCTGTTGTGTGCATTTAGGTTTTGGATTTGCACTATGGTCCATATTATCAACATAAGTGGACATCTCTTCAATTATCATTAAAACTGTCATATTCATTACTCTTCTGACAGACTTTCTGCTCGAACTTTGGGTTAAATTTTAGCTGATTTGAAGTGCATTATGTTGGTGAATATCTGAGCAAATATTTGTGTTGTACTTGTTGCTGGATTTATTTTAATCTACTATGATACTAGTGCTACATTCTGACAAATGGGTATGAATGACAGTTAGGGCTTTGACTGTCTGGTCATTTTTTCAGATGGTGTTATTGTCACTAGAATCATTTTCCTTTCTTTTACCCTTTTATCTCCTTTTATCTCTGGCCTTCTTCACTGTTTACCAGCATCCAGGGAGAGGTGGTCTGGTCTTTTCCACAAGCGAATCCAGTTCTAATGTGCACTTGTTTTTTATGCTACTTTAGTGCAAAAACCATGTGAAGTATAAAAGAACTTAAATTTTTTTTTTTTTTTTTTTTAATTTATTTTAATTTTTAATTTTTTAACTTTATTCAGGTTGAAACACTATCAAGAGAAGATCTGGCATCCAGATTGACTTTGACAGTTGATGCTGCTTCAGTTGGAACTCTTCTGCTTTCAGACTCATATATCACTATAATGGATGTATGTCATCTGAAACTCGTTTGATGTGTGTGCATAATATCATTTTACTGATCATACTCTCAGAGAAAAAAATTTGTTTTGGTTTGGTGCCAACTTGACCGAAATTGAAATAAAAATAACTTGAGAAAACACAAGCATTAGTTATATGCCAAGTTTTGCTGGGGCCTTCCTGGAATAACCCAAATGTTATGAGAAAATAATTTTTTTTCTCAATTTTCAAAGTTTCGTGAAGAGTGCAATTTATCCATGAATTTGCTAATTGTAGTTTAAGGCAGAACTAAACATCATGAGAAAAAAGGTGAATTCTTCAGTTTGACATCAAATTAATGTGGTCAAGAATATTCTCTCCAAAAGACTCGCAGTTGCCATTTTTTAAAATCAGATGGTTACTTCTTTTAAGTTGTTGTATGTGGAAATTTACTGAACCAGTATTAGGCAGAACTTAAAATGATGACTAAATAAAGGAAGGTGAATTCTTCACTTTGACATTAACCTAATGTAGTTAAGAATCAACTCTCAAAATGACTCGCAGCAACCAATTAGTGAAATCAGTAATGCCTACTTTAGTTAAGTTGTTGAAAGTGGAAATTTGCTGATCCAGTTATTTGCGTTGTTGGACAATCTTCCTAAAGTTTTGAGATCCAGATTCGGTAGTTAGTGCTTCTTGTTTTATAGGAAAGAATCAGGTTGCAAATTATCTGACATAGTTGGAAACTGATTTTATCGGCAACACTTAACTTTGTTTCCACAGTATTTTTTTTTTTCCAATTTTATATATTTAAACCAAATTCCTCCTCACGTTGTGTGGGATTTGATCTTATGGCCTTTTGTACGACCTGAGAAATTTAACTAAATGAACTAACTAGTTCCTATTATGTGTCCGCTGTATTGAACATGGACAAACTTTAATTCGGCAATTATTCTTCTGTAAAGACTATTGATGGATAGATATTCTGTGGCAAATACTCAGTTAACATCAACTTGTGATTTTCTATTTCTGCTTGATCTGGAATGTCATATACATGTTCCACTGTTTTAATTTTCTGGAGTTTTGGTATTAGTCATTGATACTCAGACAAAATGGAAAATTTTGCTGATAGCTTTATTGATTCTTTTGGCATGGTTACTTGCTTCCTCCTTGAAGACAAATGACTACTGTGCAACTCCTCAACCACTCAAAGATCATCTGAGTGAGAGGTATCCTGGAGCAAGGCGAGCTTACTTGAAAACTGGAGGTGATTTCCCATTTCTTTCACGCCCAGATGAAGTCAATTTACATCTTCAGGTAAACACAATTTGCTTAGACGGACAGTCTTTTGAGTAAGCCATAAACTGGTAGTTTTTATTGATTGGAAGACCTGTGATTTAACTGGTATCTGCATTGAACAGCTTCACCTGAGACGAGTTGGGGTAGAAGCTCAGCCAGACTTGGTCCGAGGCATCTCAAAGGATGGTACTGGTGGCAATCCCAGTGAAAAGAATGATGGGAAAGAAGATCCCGACAACCCTCCGAAAGATAATGGGGGAAACTCTGAAAGTCCATCTACAGAAAGTCAGTTACCTCCTCCAGAAAGTTCTGAATCTCACAGTATAGATGATCAACCCCTCAGCAATTCTAAAGGTTGCCTCGTTGGCCATGGAGATACAATGCTTTTGTTGCCTCGTGAATTGTTGAGAAATCAACAAATCATGGCCGCTGAAATCCTTCTGCAAATTGCTTTAGAAATTTATGTTCTATATTTGGTGGAAAAATTATACATTACTTCCAATCTTTGTTGGAAATTCGTGCAATTGTTGTAAAAGGAACATTTGAGGATGGTGATGGCTTGTGTAAGCTATACAAGCAAGCACTCTAAACTTAGTCCAGGGTTTGCTAATGCTTTCTGTAAGGAATCGGTTTTTTTCGTTGACATTACTGTACATTTAACATTTTATATTTCCAGTTAAAATGTTAATGTGAATTCTGTAAATTACAAATTTAATATTAGAACATTTAAATTTTGAAGGTGGCTAAATGCTAACAGATGTCTGTTTATCTGGAAATTGGTGGCCAGAGCAAAATCTTAAAATTAAAGCATACATCTCTCCCAGGTTTGGACTAAAGTTCTTAACCTCTTTGTTTTATGCTCTGTTTTAAAACCTAGACCAGACCGGCTAGTCCGACAGGGACCCGACAAGTTCTTTGGTTTGGTTCAGGGTTTAGGGGGGTTTTGTAATGTTTCAAATTTATAGGGACTACTTTGTAATTTTTTAAGGGTGTTTTAAGATATGTCAAGAGTTTAGGGATTAATTGGAAACTTTTTGGGCATTATTAAAAGACATAAAAATTTTAGGGACTAATTTGAAAATTTTAGGGGTATTTTTGTAATATATAAAATTAAGGGATTAATAGTAATTTTAAAAAAATTAAATTATTACTAACGTCATCGATCCAACCGATTGGACCAGTTGATCCGTGACTCGGGCAGTAGAATAAGTTGTCCTTTGGTCCGGGTTTTAAAACAACAGTTTTGTGCTCAAGTTCTTGACCTCACTGTATTAACTAAATTATTAAGTCCATTTTAGATACCCATGCAATTCTTTTTTTAAAAAGAAAACCCAGTTCAGGATGATGTTTTTCGCTGAAAATTTAGAATGATCATTATGGTCAAATTCTAATATTAAACATAACTGGTGAGTTCAAAGGACAACAATGTAGTAGTTGGAAAAATTAACAATTCCTCCCCAGCAATATTAAGTTTTGAAATAAAGTATCTGGTTGAGCTAGCAATAGCAGGCAAAGTTTATGGATTTTACTACCAAAAATGGAAGAGAATGAATAATGAGACAGATAATAACAGAGGAAGGCACATTTAAATTAATAGCATAAACGTCAAGTAGCAGTAAAATAAATTAATAAATATTGTATGACAAACCATAAATTAGGCAACCAAAGTGGCATGGTAGTAGATTAATATTTCCCCCCCTAGTAACGGGCAAGTCTATGAGTCCCACCGTCAACCAGAATCAATCTAACTTGGAATCTTTGTCCTTTATGTTTCTCTCCAAATGTTCTCTCCAAATGTAACTGCCTTCTTTATCAAATAGTACAGATCTTTGTCAGTTAACGGTAGTCACATTAAAATTAATTGTTGAAGGATGTTTTAGTATTTTTCATACGCTACTTTAAACGTTTATGAAATTATCATTTGAATGATGTATAAACAATGTTTCAAAACCCAACTTGGGATGAAACCTGACAAAGTTGCTGGGTCCCGGGTTGACTGGTTTAACCGGTTTGACCACTGGTCAAACCGGCTGATAAAAAATTTTAAAATTTAGAAAATACACCCCTAGAAATTCGTTAAGTCCCTATAGGTTTGAAATATAGCAAACACACCCCAAATGCAAATCGGTCGGTGACTGGTTGGCGGCTGCGGGGGTGACACCCCAAATGGAACCCCAATCATCCCTTAAGCCCATTCCGCTGAAAATCTACCCAAGATCTAGTCGATATTGGTTCAATTTCGACCATATCTCACCGATGCTGACGTTTGCATTTTAGGCCAGATCTCACCAACACCGACATTGACAACCCTCCCTATCACCCCAAAAATACTCCTCTCTTCCTCCCGACCAAAACCCACCTTACCCCACCCTCGTTAGCCTCGCCAATTGTTGACAAAAACCGGTTGTTGTCGCCGTTAGTGTTTTTTAATTTTCGGCTGATTTACTCATCGGAAATCAACTCTATCGCCACCATTACACTCACCGAAACTTTCTCTTCAAAAGCCCCAACATCCCGGTCTTCAATTGTTTGCCGATCATCATCCCTAATTCTAGGGTTTTGGGTGAATAGGAATAATGTAAACCCGACCTGGTGAAGCTTCTGGGTCTCGGTTAAACCGATCGAGTTTTAAAACAGTGTGTATAAACCTCAAATTTAAAAACTTTATCAATAATACCCTTTTACCCTAATGCCGATAGGTTGTCGTTGGGTGTAGCTGGTTAAATTACCATTTTATGTTCATTTTCCCTTATCTTCAATATATTGCAAAATTTGTTTTTACTATAACCCTCTATGTTTTTGAAATTATCACTTAGATGATGAGTACACTTTTAAAATTTGAAAACTATATGAGTGATTCCCTTTGCCTTCATTAGGTTTAACAAGATTACCATATTACCCCTTTTTCCCCTTATGTTCAATATTTCATAAACATTTGCTTTTATTGTAACTTGAACATAACATGAAAGTTATTTCCCAAAAAATTTACCATTAAGGCAAATAACTAGATAATTACAAACTGTTGATGCTTGATTTTGACACTAACAATCTCGCACGTGCAGAGTGCTAAGCAGGTCTCAGAAATTACACGTGTTTGATTATGAGAGTTGATTATGGTCACATTAGCATGCAAAGACTTAGTAGTAAATGAGACAGTGAGAAATTTATAGTGGTTCAGATGCTTAAAGTGATTCCTACATCCTCTGTTTTCTTTTATATGAGTGTTCTTGGTCATTAGCCAAGTGATAAGAGGTCACGAACTGTGAATAGAATTACAAGAGCTTGGTATTTAGAGAGAACATTAAGCCAGTCTCTTTCTTGTAGGTTGTCTTTACTATTTGTTTTTATGAGAACTAAGATCCCGATTTTGTGAGGGGGAGTCCTCTATTTATAGCCACTGAGTTCAAGGTAATTTTTACAAGTCTGCAAGTGGGTAGGTGCCGTGCAAGTCCTTCCTTGCGTCCCATTGGCTGATAACTTAGGAAATATCCTTAAATTATATAAGGCTTGGACAGCTGTGCGAACCTTATTCATTCACAGACAAAACTTGAGCCTGTTGAGTTGATGACAACCGTATTCTCTCTGTCTTGGGGCGACGTGGCAAATTCTAGGCAGTGCAAAGCCTTTCTAAACTCTGATTGGTGCTCGCTGATGTAAGCTTATGTTAGCTCTGATTTTTTAGGCCTAACAGAAGCTCCCCAGTTCTTGAGATTTAAGGAATTGGATTTCGAGAACTTCATGATTATGTTGCGACCTGACCTGTATTCAGAAATGCTTGCTCGATCACATTTTTTTAGACGACCTAAAGTTGACTGCTTGCTAACTTCTGAAGTGCTGTCTTAATTTGACTTGCGAACTGAGTCCAGGTCGTGAGCTATATCTTCAGAGTAACACAAGCAACTTGACGGATCGTTTACTAGGATCTACTGATCTGAGCTTCATCTTGTCTTGAGTCATCGGGAGGTGCTTTGAACTCTAACTGTCATTCATGACCTGAAAACACTTAGAATATTTCAGGGTTGAAAATTCTGAATCATCTCATTTGGTGTTTGTGTTCGACATGTTGAATAAATGTCCTTTTTGAACAACCTCTTCAGATGTTATTTGTTGTGCTTGACAGCTGGCTCGGCTAATAAAGTAATCTTTATCTGACAGACGTGTCTCTATGCGCAATAAGTGTTAGCCATGAGCATTAAATGCAAGTCATGCTGAAACGATATTCCCTTTTGGTGCATTAAATGCGAATGAAGGCACATTAAATGTGGAAGAGATAATCACGCCGCCGATTTGCATTCTCGATAAAGAGAGGTGTCGGTTGATTTCTACGAAGCATGAGAGTTACTCTTCCCATAGTTTGGTGACACGTGGTCGCGATCTATGGCTGAGAGCGCACTCTCGCCCAAATGTCTCTTATAAAAGAAGCTGTAGCGTTGTCTTCTTTGCTATAAAACCCTACTTTTGCCCTAGTTTTTCAAAGAATCCAATTTTTTCAGAGAGAAAAACAACGTTTTCTTTCCTAAAAAAAAAATGTGTTCCTCCTCCATCAGTTCATGCGAACCCAACGCTACAACAGAGCACCCATTTCAGTAGCTAAGAGGTAAAGAAACTTCTTCCTTTTTCTCTTTTTTTCATTTCTTCAAAAAAAAAAAAAAAAAAAAAAAAAAAAAAAAAAAAAAAAAAAAAAAACTTCTTTTTTACAGTCATGGTGGTCATGAGTGTCTAGTACGTCTTAAAAAGAGCATCGTTGGGCAGTGCTCAAAAGAAACACTTGAAGTTGAAAAACTTAGGGTAAATAATCCCAAAGGAGTATTTTTAGGAGTTTTTAGGGTTTAGAAGCTTGACAGCCATGGTAGAAACTATAGAGATATCCTCCACCTCGTTTGAGTCGTCATATGAGGTAACTTTTTAGGGTTTGAGTCTCCCCTAAATGTCGTACCTTTACACACTCTAAGGCCAACAGAGATCCCTGAGATGAGAATAACCAGTGAGGGAAGCTCACACCCACCAAGCACCTCAGCAAGTCCCGGAAAGGTGATAAGTTCCACTATTACAATGGACAAAATCAAAGAAGCACTAGAGTAGTATGTGATCGAAGTATAAGTGTACCAAAAGAGGTCGTACACTGCCTAGGAGCTTCCTGAGGGAATGGCTACGATCTTAGAAGCCATTTTCAAATGTGGAGTAAGAACACCCTTCCACCCCTACATCAGGTTAATTCTCGATCATTCCACTTGATGCCGAACACATATATGATAGCTATTGCTATGTATATATTGTTCTGCAAGCACAAACTCGAGGAGCCAACGACATTGGAGCTCACTTGCACCAATATCTTGAAGAAGAGTAAAGATAATGACTCATACTATCTCTCCAAACGACCAACGATTGAGGGAGGAATATTTGGTTACCCTAGCAACGTGGGAGCTTACAAGACAAAATATTTTTTCTTTAAGTATGACGGTATCTATAAATTTCAGGCACTGAGTAGGTTTTTCCCTTTAATTTTTAGGTTGTTCATCTTTTATACTTAATTATTTTTTAGAGTACAAGCTAACAAACTCTTTTCTTTATAGAAAAAAAAACGACTCAATTGCAGCTGTTGACTGATTGTAGCTGCATCCAAGTATTCGACCAACTTCCTAATAGAAGTCATGACACGAAGTTGCTTGTGACGATTGAAAACTTTCACAAGTACGGGTTCTCCCCCAGAAGCATATTTAGATAGTTCAGCTCGTAAG